CTAGGACAGGTGGGAAGAGTGGCTGGATACTCAGGTGAGGGTCCAGTGACCCTGCTTGGCACTCCTTTAATGAATGAGCATAACCCTCAACAAGCCCAGTTGTGACTATGTTTAGAGATCAGGCTCAGCCGAAGTCATGATGATGGTAGTTATTTCATGCAGAAGGGACTGCTGTATAGTATCATCTTATTAAAAGGACTTGGAATTTAAAAGCATTTGGTGCTAGAAACCACTTATGAGGGAGAACCATACATCGTTTGATTTCTGAGTCTGTTTTACTTCACTTAGTATAACCGTTTCTAGATCCATCCATTTACCTGCAAATTTCATTATTTCATCTTTCTTTACTGCTGAATAGAACTCCATTGTATAAATATACCACATTTTCGTTAATCACTCATCAGTTGAGGGACACTTAGGTTGCTTCCATCTCTTAGCTATTGGGAAAAGAGCAGCAACAAACATGGTTGTACAAATGTCTCTACAATAGGTTGAGTGCTTTGGGTATATGCCAAGGAGTGGTATAACCAGGTCATATGGTAGGTTCATTTTTAGTTTTTTAAGAGTTCTCCACTCTGTTTTCCATAGAGGTTGCACGAGTTTGCAATCTCACCAGCAGTGAATAAGCATTCCCCTTTCTCCACATCCTCACCAACATTTGGTACCATTTGTTCTCTTGATCCTAGCCAGTCTGATTGGGGTAAGGTGATTACTTAGGGTGGTTTTAATTTGCGTTTCCCTAATTACTAATGATGTTGAGCACTTTTTGAGATGTTACTTAGTGGTCTTTATGGTGAAGATTTTTTCCCATTCTGTGGGTTTTCTCTTCACTGTTTTATTTCTTTGACTGTACAGAAGCTTTTTAGTTTAATGAGGTGCCACTCGTTGATTGTTGACCTTAATTCCTGAGCAACTTCTGTCTGATTTAGAAAATCCTTTCCTACACCTATATCCTGTAAGTTACTGCCAATATTTTCTTCTAATAGTTTCAGGGTTTCCAGTTTTACATTGAGGTCTTTGCCAGATCAAAATGTCTTCCTATGAAGGTAGCTAAGGCTGATGGTAATGTGACTTTGTTACCTGATAGCATGTATGAGTTCCAAATAGATGATGGTCTCATTGTTGAAAGCTTGAAATATGCCCAAAGGTACTCAGTACCTAATATAAATGTAAATACCCATCCTTTTAATCATTACTTCCAAGTCACTGGGTCACCAGCCATGTATTTCTCTGTAGCTAAGGATCCTCAGCCTGTGGTCCAGGTGGCTAATTTGGCTTATTTCCCCCTCTCTGTATGTACTGTGAGCAAAGAATGGCTTATAAATTTAAAATTATTGAAGAAAATAAAAAGGAAGATGTGGAAATTATCTGAATTTCATATTTGGTCTTTATTAATGCAGTTTCAAAGATATATAGCCATGCTTAGCTTCTTGCATGCTTTCTATATCTGCCTCATATCTGAGTGATAGAGACCTTATGATCTATAAAGCCTACAGTATTTACTATCTGGCATTTTATAGCAAAGGTGCTGATTTCTGAAGGGTATGGCATTAAGTAAAATGTTATTATTGTCTTCAATTAGACCCTCAATGAATTTATGGAAGTCTTCTATGTGCTAGTATACAATGAGAACTATTCTTTCCCTGCTTTCAAGAACCTTGGGTAGGAGGAGAGATATCCAAGTGACCCAACAAATTTGGATCTGATTAGTGCAGCTGAACAGATATTCAACATTATTTAGGAAAGAGGAGGAAGGACACCTAACAGCCTAAGGATCATAATCACGAGAAGCTTCCAGAAGGAGGTAATAAGTTTGATCAGCATCTTTCTCACACAGAATAATAAACATGTTCCTTTGTAACAAGTGAAATCATTTAAAACAAAGGGGTAAAAATTCAGTGCCGTTTCTACTGCCCCTTCTCATGGTCAACCCCCTCTTATGTATTCTTTCCAAAGGCAGTTCTGTTTCCATTGTAATTGTTATACTAGGACAGTCAGCTGTCCGTCTCTACTTTGGAAATGTCAAATAACCTAAAGACTGCCTGGGAAGAGGCAGAGGGTCCCCAAGAAGATGGTAGAAAGGTTCTGTGATGCTTTGGGAGTAAACACCAGCCTACTGAATTGCCAGAACTCTGGATATACAGTTTTTCTTCTGTTGCTTGTGTTAGGTGGAACTTCATTCCTTCTCTGTGTGGGAGCCTAGACTACAGAGCTTACTTATTGGGGTGATACTAGTTGCTCAAGGAGATTTAGATTTGCCCAGACTTAAGGTCCTTGTACTAAATGTAGGCTCTAACTGGACAGTTGTGTACAAATTTAAGCAGGTCCGTTCTTCTTGTAGCAGCATAGCCAGCTCCCTTGTTAAGTCTTCTCTTGCTGTCTTGCCTGGTTATGAGGCATAGTCTTTGTCCAACTGTTTGATTGTAGGGCCTGATTTCCTTATATCCTACACTCATCTCTCTATAGCTAGGTGTTAAAAATCTATCAAGCCTGTCCCTCAAATCTGATCACTGAGCCAAAGGGAATTCTCTAGTTCAGTTGCATTGTTTTTGAAAACAAAGCTTAACCACCAATAAATTTCTATAATATTCTCTGAATTCAGATCTTCCTTGTGAGCCAACTGCTGTCTGAAAGTAGACCCAGATAAAGGGTATTGAGTTGTATTGGCAAGTTACATACAAGTCTAAATGACATCCAGGCAATTGAAGAAGTGACACCGAATCTTGGCATAAACTGGGGTTAGAAACTTGGTAGTATTTGAGTTGAAGGGGTAAGGGTTTAAACCCTACATAGGATATGAAGAAAGGTCAAAGGAATCAGAGGATGGCTTGGTGTTCACACATGCTGTGGACCTTTGTTCACATTGTTCACATTTTTAAAAATCCTTTTCTTTCCTTTTCCACCCCTCAGATTGAGTCCCACATGTAACAACTTTTTGTAATGATTACAAGGTTTGAAGTATGCCTTTTTGTTGATTCAACAGTCTTGATTATGATATTTTTCCTATAAATATTTTACAATATATTCATATAGATATGTGTGTGTGTGTTTGTGTACATATGCTTACATAGTATTTATCTGTTTATATGGTGCTGGGATCAAACTCAGGGCCTGGTACTTGCCTGAGAGATGTCCCCAGTCTGATGATGCAGCATTGTTTGTAACAGTGAAATATTGGCAACAACTAAAATGGTTGAAACTTTAAAATTAATACAAATATACGCTGGCATGGAAAGCTGGCTATTGAATGTAGACCAAAATTCCATTAAAAAAACTTAGATGTTTTCCAGCTGGTCAAACACCCAGTCCTAGGTGACACATCTACAATGCAAACTCTACACCTAAGGCTTATGGAACATACCATAACAGGGGGCAGAGAATATTAATACACCTCTCAGTTGTCACCAGTGAACCTTTCTCATGCATCAGATGGTGATTAACACATTCTCTGCCAAAATGCAGAGAATAAGAGACTGCAGAGTAGTTGATTACTGCTGAGTGAGGAAGAGATGATCTTAAAGTGAGGGACTCTAGGTAGGCTGACTAGACCTCAGTGGATGAACTCGCACTGAGGGACATTTGGGGACACTAACTTGACATGATAGATCTTAACACAAATGAGAGAATGTATGAATTCCAGTGGGGGGGTATGGGAGGGAGCCAAAGGGGAAGAGAGTATAAAGATGATTATGATCGACTGAGATGTTCTATATAAAATACACAAAAATTCAATTAAAATTTTTTTTTTAAAAAAAGAAAGACTGTAGAGTGCCTGTCCTAGAAACAACTCATGCCATCAGGGCTTAAGGACCATTATGGAAGAGGGGGCAAAAAGACTGTAAGAGCCAGGGGTGGTGGATGACTATAAGGAAACAGAGTTTTCTAGCTGGGACCTTGCTCATAAGAACTTACAGCAATGGTGACAGTATGCACAAGACCCATGCAAACTCAAACCAGACAAAAACCTAACACAAGCAGGGAACGGGTAAATATTAAACTTCACCCATCCAGGGCTCAGAGATCATTGCAGAAGAAGGGGTGGAAAGATTGTAAGAGCGAGGGGTGGTGCATGGCCTTAAGGAAACAGAGTCTCCCAGGCTTCTGGGAACTTGCTTGTATGAACTTACAGCAATGGTGACAGTATGCACAAGACCCATGCAAACTCAAACCAGACAAAAACCTAACACAAGCAGGGAATGGGTAAGAAGCCCCAACTTTAACTGAGGAACTATTTGGCAACTGATTACTGCTGGATGAGGGAGAGTTAGTGTTCTTTAAGGGAGTGGCTCTAGATAGGATGACCAGGCTCCAGTGAATGGATTCACAATGAGAGAAATTTAGGGACATAAAGTTGACTCAATAAGTCTTAATGGATATGACAGAATTCATGAAATCTGGCAGGGGGGCTGTGGGGGGGATGCGGTAGAGGAGGGGGTCTAAATATGATCAAGATATATGTATGAAATGTATAAAAATTCAATAAATTTTTGAAAAATGTGTTTTGTATGTACATGCAGACACAAAAGAAAATTTGATCACATACACAGAATGTTGAACAGTGATTATTTATGTATATATGTGTATGAGTGTGGGGCTAAAGTTACAGAGTTCTAATGGTTTGGGTTCAGATTGTTAGCATTTCCTAATTTGGAGCGATGTTCACTGTTGCTTATTCTACTATTGTGTGTGATACTTTCTAAGTAATGATAGTGGAGAAATGCAGTGTTTCTTTTTGAATATGTGTCTGCATGTCCAGTAGTATTGGTATTTATTTATTCCTGTAAGCGTCTTCCGTACTCACCATTGAATTTAGGCCGTGTGTGGTTGCACACAGCCAGTAGGGAAGTGTTTGAATGGATGTTATAATGCTTATTGAATTGAAACTGAATCAGTGAACTGATTTTTGTGCAAATTATCAAATGATATGAATTTGATTTATATTTATATGCTTATTTTTATTAGGGAGATAAATGGTCCATCTTTGTTTTGTGGTTGTCTAGGTGAAGTCAACAGACTACAGATCCTCAACAAGAGCAGCCTGGAGGAAGATGTTGCCAGGTAGTTATACTTTTTTTTACTGCTGTTTCATTACCCTTTCTGCATTAATCTAGTTATAGCAATGTGTAAAATTTTGTACTATCATAATATAGATTGAAGTTTTGAGGTATAGTTGAATTAAGAATTATTTTTTATTGCTTTGTAATTATTTGCTTTTTGAGTGTTTTCAGTAGTGATATGATAATAAGATAAGGCAACAGAAATTTTTTTTGAGAATTTCATACATGAGTACTGTATTTACATAATTGCCACTCTACCTTCTTCCCCCTCCAGATTTTCCCATTCCTTCTCAATTTTGTGACCTCTTTGATTATTTTTGTTGTGTTTTTATATACACGGACATATACACCTGTCTATATATCTAAATATAATCTGCTGAGTACATTTAGTGGTGCTGGTATGTGTATGTGTTTAGTGCTAACCACTAGGGATTTGATGCTTTATCAGGGAGCTTGACCCTGGAGAAAACTAGTTGCCCTTCCCTCAGCAGCCGTTGATTGCCTGTAGCTCTTCAGTTAGAGGTGGGACCTGTAAAATTTCCCCTATCCACATTGTTCTGTCAACTGTTGTCATTATGTAGGTCTTCTTCAGACACCTATATTGTTAAGATTTCATGGGTGCAGCTTCCCTGTCATGACTAGTAGACACTATCTAGCAGCAGGTGTCCTGGTCCTCTGGCTCTTAAAAAATCTTTCACCCCCTCTTCCACCTTAGGTGTAGGGATATGTTGTAGATGTATCAGTTGGGGCTGGGCTCCCCATGGTCACTTATTCTTTGCATTTTGACCAGTTGTGGAACTTCGTAATAGTCTTCATCTCGTGCAGAAAGAAGCTTCTTTGATGAGTGGTAAAAATTACACTTGCCTGCGGCTGTAAGGATAAGTATTTAGAACATAGTTAGAAATAATATTGGTTTAGGAAAGTGTTAGTAATAGGTTCTCCTCTAGGGTCTGTGACCTCTCCAGCTATGGGTTTTGTCTACATTTACAGAACTAGTCAATAATTCCCTTCTATTTAGCAGGCCTTGCATCCAATTAGACAGTTGTTGGTAGCCCCCAAGTTAAAAGTGCCCCTATCGCACCATTAGAGATATCTCGTTAGTCATTATTATGGTTTATAGGCTTTACAACTGGGTAGGACTATTATTGCTTTTCTCCCTTAGCAGCTTGCATAGCACCTTCTGATACTATGAGAGATAATCCTCAGGGAGGAGACTTTCAGGTCATTTCCGGCTCAGTTTCTCCAAGTCCTGTGTCCAAAGTGTGTGGTGTCTTCAGCAATAGCATCTAAGTTCTGGAAGGCAACCAAGGGCTATGGCAATAGCCTGTGCTAGTTTGGGAGTCTCTTGGATTACCCTGACTGACAACTCAAAGGTCTTGAGGTTTCCTTTGCCTGGCACTGGAATTTTTGTTAGACAGCCTTCAGCTATATACATGCTCACACATATATATTATATATGTATTTTAAGTTAGCTCATAAAATAATGCTTCCCTCTGAATTTTTCAGACATCTGTAGTATTATTTATCTCCCCAACAGGGATTTTTTAAACACATTGTCTAATTCTAAACAATGAAATAAAACATCTAGAAAAAAATACAGTCATCATGTCCTTAACTCACCTTGGGGAAACATTTTGTTAATGATTTACACACCTTGAAGTTTGCTCCCAAGAATATTTTTTAACAGATGTGCAAAGATCAATATCAGTAATCCAGATAATAATTCTCATTATTTTATGAATGGTTTGATAGGTTCGAAGAAAGTGGACACACTTGATTATATTTTTGAAAGAAGCAAATACTCCAAATAATATTGTATGAAGGTATTATTTTCTATATTGAGAAAACTGCATTGTCTTTTCTTTTCTTTTTTTTTTTTTTTGAGACAGAGTCTCACCTCACTATGTCATCCAGGTTGTCCTCAAACTTGTAGCATTCCTTCTGTCTCTGCCTTCCAAATGCTGGGACTGTAGAATGCCACGATGTCTGGTTAATGCAGCATCTTCATTGTTTAAAATACATTACCGAAGCTGGGCTTGTTGGAACAGGACAGCACTGGGAATGTAGTGGAGGATTGTGAGATTGAGGCCAGCCTGAACTACATAGTAAGACCCTTTCCAAAACTAAAAAAATATAAAAAAGTTAAAAATAAACAGGTTATTAGCCATGAGATAGACTTTTTAAATGGGATTATTCTTGCTATATCATTAGCACTTGTATAATAATTAATTATAAAGGAATCTATTAACCAGGAGTGCTCTGATTGTATCTTATCTAGTTAAAGAATTGTAAATTACAAGATATAACAAGGCATAATTTGTTTAGCAGGATTCCTAAAAGATTCTGCACAGTATTGTGAGCGTCACATCAGAGACTATCTTCCTAGTAAATAAGTACCAGCCTCCCCCGTGGCATACACTTTTATTTTGTAGAAGATAACAAATAGAGAACTTTGCTAAAAATAGGAAAATTGGTATCTTGTATTTTGTTTTATAGTGTTTGCTTTTAACCTAAACATTAGCTGCCTCGTGCAGCCCAAGAGTTGCTGGCTTTTGTAATTGTGAAAACTCAGAGCAAGGAAACACCTATTCAACTTTTTCTAAATATCAAAGGTTTGATTTTGGGGGGTTTATGTTTTTTTTTTTTTACTGTTTCAATTTAGATTAGAGGGGCTCTTTGATTCGTTAAGCATTTTATAGTAATTCACAATGGCCAGTTGCACAGATTATATACCAATGCTATTAATTTTTAGTTGTCACCAGCCAAGCTCTGCTGGACTAGTAGTTGAAGGGCAGAGAATCTTTTCTGTCACTTGGTTCTACTTTCAGAAAAGTTCTGTCATTTCTTTCTCTCCCTTAACATGCAGATACAACCTCAAAGGGCTCATCAATTAATGCTGATGTAATGAAATTAGACCACAGTAATGCATCTTACCTGATGTTCCAGGACATCAAGCAGTCTACCACAGCAACTGACATTCTCTGAGTACTTTCTGTGTACCAGGCACCTTTCCAAGTACATTTCATGCATACTGTGTTATTATTTTATCTCCGTGTTACCAGTTAGAAAATTGATACTTAGGATATATTCTAGTTTACTTTCCTGTTGTTGTGATTAAACACTAACCATAAGCAACTGGGGGAGGAAAGGGTTTATTTGGCTTACAGGTTACAGTCCTTTATTGAGGGAAGCCAATGCAGAAAGTCAAGGCAGGAGCCTGGAGGTAGGAACTGAAGTAGAGACCATGGAGAAAGGCTGCTCACTGGCTTGCTCCTCCCAGGCTTGCTCAGCTTGCTTTCTTTTGCAGCCCAGGCCCACCTGCCCTTCTACTTCAACTAAATTTAGGAAATGCCTCACAGACATGGCCACAGGCCAGTCTGGATCCAGGAAATTCTTCCAGTTGCGGTTCCTTCTTCCCAGGTGACTGTAATTTGTGTTGTGGACAAAAACTAACCGGTACATGATATTAAGCACTGAGCACTCTGCCTAATTTTATACTGTAGTTAAGTGAATTAGAGCTGGGATTTGTACCAAAGTAGCAACCATTGTTAGCTATTCCTCTCTATTGGTGCAGACATAGGTGGATGCTGACCATTATAGCTCTGCTTCTTATAACCCCTTCTTGTTTGTTAAGGACAGTGTGGTACCAGATAACTGAAAAGGTGAGAGTCAATTGTGTGTTTGGGCAGATGCACCGATTAGAAATGGCATGCAGTGTTCTTGTTTTTCAGATACGCCTACTATTACACTGGAATCGGTGCTGGTGTGCTTATTGTTGCCTACATGCAGGTTTCATTTTGGTGCCTGGCAGCTGGGAGACAAATCCACAAAATTAGACAGAAATTTTTTCATGCTATATTGAATCAGGAGATAGGCTGGTTTGACGTGCATGATGTTGGGGAGCTTAACACCCGGCTCACAGAGTGAGTACCTAGTTTTATTCTGAATTCAGATGTGGTCTTGTTCTTCATGATGTGAAATAGATCTTACTGGATCTGTTAGAAATGGCAGTACACTGTTGAGGAGAGAAAATTCCTTGTGAGCAGCAACCATGTCTTATGTCGGTTCCTGTTTACAGTACCCTGGAAGGGTATGGGGGTCCTGCATGACTGGCACTGAATGGGGGGTTAGACCGGCAGAGTGAGCACAGTAGTGATGTGCAGGGGAGCAGCAACATGATCTGTTCCAGCCCCACTGAGTGCTGCCTGCCAGGCCTCCATGGTGTCCTTAAACCATGCAGTTATTTGGAAAACAATGGAAAGAAGGAAGGAGCTCTTACATGTCATCATACAAAAGATACACTGGTAGTTAGAGAATAGCTTAAAAGCACTTGTTGCTTTGCAGAGGACCCTGGTTTGGTCCCATTGTCCACATGGGGGCTTACAAAGGTCTATAACTTCAGTTCCAGGGTATGTGACATCCTCTTTTGGCCTCCACAGGCACTAGGCATGCACATGGTGTTCATACATAGATGCAGGCAAAACATTCATGCACATAAAATAAAAACAAATCTTTAAGAAAAGATACACTAGAGACTGGAGAGATGGCTCAGCGGTTAGGAGCACTGACTGCTCTTGCAGAGGAACTGGCTTCAATTCCCAGTACCCACATAGTGGCTGACAACCATCCGTAACTCTAGCTCTGGGGGAATCTGACACCTTCTTCTGACCTCTGTGGGCATTGCATGACACGGGTGCACTTACATACATGTAGGCAATAAATAAAATATTTTTTTTTAAAAAGAGAAAGAAAAGATAACACTGAACTCAATAGATCAGTGTTCAGGAGAGTGCTGTATTCACACAGCAGATATTTCTACAGTGAATATTCATAAGCATGCCATGTCTATATTCTGAGGCTTTGTAAACCACAGAATACTGTTAATGACAGATCTACTAGGAGCTGATAGCCAGCCAAGTGAAACAAGTGTACATACAAAGAACTCTAGTCATAAACTGATTTACACCACACTCAGTAAAACAATATAAAACTGGAGTAATCCTGTGTTTGCAATTCTGACATTGCTTCTTCTTTTTCTTCTTTTAGTGATATCTCCAAAATTAATGATGGAATTGGTGAGAAAATTGGAATGCTCTTTCAGTATATAACAACATTTTTTGCTGGTTTTATAATAGGATTTACAAGTGGTTGGAAGCTAACCCTTGTAATTTTGGCCGTTAGCCCACTTATTGGACTGTCAGCTAGTATGTGGGCAAAGGTAGGTGAAGGTGGTGAGTTCACATTTCAGACTCTTCCCCATGACCCCATGGAAGGGTCTTGTAGCCACAACAACCCTGATTGTGAATTTGATGCTTGCTTTTAAGTCTTTTAAAAATCGACAGGATAATTCAAGGCCAGCTTGGTCTGTTATATCCTGCCAGGATTCCCTGATGTCCTCGCCATGTGATTGTGAAAAAGATGAGAAAGAAGGAAGAACTCTTCCATCTCATCCTTTGCCTTCATGGAAAAGATGCTGACAATGATCTGTGTTCAGTAGAGGGCAGTGCCATGTTTACACAGCAAGTGGAAATTTAAGTTCAGCAAATAACACATCCCATTTAGTTAGCATTTTTCAACTTTAAAGTTTTTAGTTTTGTGGGTTTTGTTTAATTTATAAATTGATTTTGCAGTTTAAAAAATAATTTACCTGGTTCTATTTATAAATATACAAATCCATTGTTATAACAACCATTTAAGAAAATGCGTGATTCTAGATCTAGAAACTTCTAAATTTTCAGTCCCTGGTTCTTTTCCCCAACCATGAAGTAGGGGCAGAATAGCCTGTCCCACTTCTGTCCACATGCCTCCCGTGATTTTTGTGAAACTTATTTTTACTTTCCAGGGAATGAACTCAGGTTGTCAGACTTCCCTGGCAAGGGCCTTTACCGACTGAACCATTTCACCACACTAAAAGCTTCCTTTTCCTTTTTTAAGTTATTTATTTACTTATTTATTTTTATTTTATGCGTATGAGTGTTTTGCCTGCATGTATGTAAGTGCAATGCCCATGGAGGCCATAAGAGGGTGCCAGGTCCCTTGGAACTGGAGTTTTGACATAGCTGTTAGTCACCATGTGGGTGCTGGAAACTGAACCCAAGTCCTCAGCAAGAGCAGTCAGTGCTCTTAACCACTGGGCCATCTCTCCAGCCCCATCCTTCTTTTTCTTAATTGATTTTTCTGTTTAGTAGAACACTGACCAAATTAGCTACAAACTCTTTGCATCAAAATTTAATTTAAAAAATATTTTAAATTATTGGAATACATTCTCAGTATGTGAAGAAAAAATATTACAACTTAATCTTTAATAATTGCACATAACCAGTTATTGGAACCTTCTATGTGTCCAGGACCCTCTTCCTTTCCCAGATACTGGGGTGCTCAAGGGCATTGATAGGGCAACCATTACACTTTTTCTCTATGAAAAGATGCCTGGCACTGAAAGAAAGGTCTTGTTCTTCATAAGATTAATATGCAAACAACATTTTTATATCTATTTAATTTTACTTTTCAAAATATAAATTTTTTAAAAAAGGTGTGCTCAAGGGCATTGATAGGACAACCATTACACTTTTTCTCTATGAAAAGATGCCTGGCACTGAAAGAAAGGTCTTGTTCTTCATAAGATTAATATGCAAACAACATTTTTATATCTATTTAATTTTACTTTTCAAAATATAAAT